ATATTATTCAAAATCAGCTAGCTAGCAGATAAAACATAAACAAATCAATCAAAGAAATTGAAGTATATTAAATTTTAGGGCAATGCAACGTAATTTTCGACAATGAAACCACTGCCCCTCTAAACACTTCAAGAGGAGACTTTTCTAGTCAAGATAAGATGTTTGTGGCTTGAAAAGTTACATAAGAACCCGTACGAGCAAACGTGTGTATATATAGTTCGTGGGTTGGAGTCGGTCAGACTACGATAAAACCATGGGATTGCATTTGCATTTGCTGCAAGCCCAATTACTTGTGTCATTTCTGCTTATTTTTGTTTCAAGATCAGTTTCTACTCAATCAAATTTCCAAATAGCAATGCCCAACTGTACGGATCATTGTGGAAATGTAAGTATTCCCTTCCCTTTCGGCACGAGGGAAGGCTGTTACTTTAACATATCATTCTCAGTCACTTGTAATGACACCCACTATGATCCTCCCAAACCATTCTGGGTAGACTCGGGCATAAATATCACAAGCATATCCCTAGAGGGCCAAATGCATGTCATGAAATTCATAGCAAAATCCTGTTATTCTCGGAATGGCACCAGGGTGTATCGTCGTGAACCCTCGTTAACAGTGGCCGATGGATTCGTGGTCAATAATACTGCCAATAAGTTCTTTGTCGTTGGCTGTGATAGTTACGCTTATGTATCTGGGAGCCTAAATAACCGGAGTTACTTGACAGGGTGCACTTCCACGTGCAACGACAGGGGTGATCTGGTCGACGGCTCGTGTTCGGGTGTAGGCTGTTGCCAGATTTCTATCCCGAAACTGTCGTTGAAAGTTGAGGTGACATTGCATAGCTTTAAGAATTTGACAACTGTGTGGGACTTCAATAACTGCAGCTATGGTTTTGTAACTGAAGCAAGTGCATTCAATTTCTCCGCAAGTAGTCTTTCCAACCTGAGTAATGTGAAAAAGCTTCCAGTGGTGGTTGACTGGGCAGTTGGAGAAGGAACTTGTGAGGAAGCTCGAAATGACATTTCTAGTTATGCATGTAAAAGTGAGAAGTCTGAGTGTTATGAACCCGATAATGGTTATGGGTATCGTTGTCGTTGTCAGAAAGGTTATGAAGGAAATCCATACCTTGAAGATGGCTGTAAAGGTATGGCTATATGATCTTGAAAGTTCATAAATGATCTAGCACCATATTGTTCATTATATAATAGACAAGATTTTAACTTCATTTTTCCTTCTTATTATTCTTATATTTGTTATGCAGACATTGATGAATGTGAGAATCAAAGTCTCCATAACTGTGAAAAGCAATGTAAGAACACACCAGGGGGGTATAAGTGTGTTTGCCCGAAAGGCTACCATGGAGATGGTAAGAAAGATGGACAAGGTTGCATGCGTGGTCAATCACTTGTCTTCAAAGTTGCTACAGGTTATTAGCCCCACTATTCCATGGGTGTAGGTTAGCCTTTTTCTCCCCTCCCCACCCCATCCCCTCCATTCGTTACATTTCACCCAGGATTTAGAATTATCTCCGCTGATGATCCATGTTTCAAGCTGGGTGATTTTACAAAACAAGTCTTCCACTGAAAGTACACTCCCTAAGTCTGTCTTCATACTCGGATTGGATGTCTATTTTGATACTGATTATAACAGTGACATTTGTTAAAACTCACTTCTAAAATTGACTTGAAAGGGTAGAGTGTACACTTAGCTATAAACCTACGAACCAATTCTTAGCTTAGCGCCTGCTCGGGAATATTGGAGTACCGATTAGTAGCGATTTTCTAAACTGCCCAACACATGATTGGGAGTTTATTATAAGAATAAAATTACACGTCCCTTAGTAAAATTTTCAATTTATAGTTTCTTGAATGAATTTTTTTACTCGCAAATGATATTTTACTTATAAGTAATTTTTTTATATATAAGTTAATTTTTAATTTAAAAATTAAATAAAG